CACAAATGTCATAGCCCTACAAAACCTTTACCCTTAAACTTTTAAGACCACAAGTTTCAAAAGTCTTTTCTTCTTTTTTTCTTCCTAAAATTCGTATTGATTCAAACTACCTCATCTAATTTAAAGTGGAAGAAGTAATATCTATTGACAAATTATACTTCAATTGGCTTTTATGGATATTGTGTGCTGAATAAATGCATTAAGTATCCAACTGCGAAGCAACGCAAGAAGTTGCTTATTACTAAGATTTGGAGGGTGTTTGGATTGGCTTTTAAGCTGGTCAAATCAATGTTTAAGTTTTTTTTAGTTGTTTACTCATAAAACAGCGCAGTTAAATTTATATGTAGTTTATAGATAAGTGAATAGATTTGATCCAAAAATAATAGATGAATTAAATCAAAATGTAGGACTTAACCTTCAAATTGAAGTAAAATGGAAGATATCTTAGTCCCGGCGCAGAGCTTCCAGAGACAGTAAGGACTATAAATAAGGAAGAAAGTCAAATGTTATAAAGCTTTTGATAGAATATAGTGTATGCTTGTTAGAAAATCCGTTCCCTTTCAATGATAATTGAACTCACTATTTATTATTACATCTAGGGAACAAGATCCTAGGATCAAACTCTTCTTAAATGACAATTATGAAAGACATTGAAGAATGTCTAACGGTGGGCGGTGAATACCATTTTTCTGTAACGGATTATGCACGTAATGTTATAGAATATTCTTTATTGAATGCAATCGGATGGTAGGCATTTTTTGCCTTTATGAATATCATTCTTTCCGATGTCAAGCGAGATCATTTTCTTCGGGTCCGACTATCTTCTGTTTTCGGATCCACGTATCGCTTTCTCATGCGATCATTACATATGAACATATTTTACCCCATACATTAGCTTTTTTTAGTGTTTAGCAAAGTTAAAAAAAGTTTATAAAATAAGTTAAAAACTGCTTAAAACAAGTCAAAAGCAATAAGCCGGGTAACCCCAACTTATTATTTTTTGGTTTAAAAGTTATTTCTGCTGAAAAATTACTTTTTTTAAACCAATCCAAATGGGAACTTGTTGGGCTTAAGCTTGCTCAAGATTCTTTTGGGTAAAATCCAGAAACTTCTACTTTTAAATTAGGGGTGTTCAAAATTGAACCGAAACCGAAAATCGAACCGCAAAAGTGTCTTAATGACTTATTGGTATCGGATTATCGAATAAACCGTTAACCTGTTAAGAATTTTTATATTTATATATACCTTTATCCATATGTATATTAAATACCCCTTCCACTTATCCACTATTAGAAGTGTTAATTGTGAATAACTAATTTTTGACCACACCCGAATTCTATACCATTTAAGTATAAATATTTCTTTTAGGTATAATTTTGATATTTTAAACTTTTATCTTTCTCTTAATAGGTTTCATTTACGAAAATTACAAGAACAACAACAACAACAAAAAATCCAGTTTGATCCCAATATGTAGGGTCTACAGAGGGTAGTCTGTACGCAGACCTTACCCCTATCTAAGGCAGATAGAGAGGTTATTTTCAATAGACTCTCGGCTCAGGAAGGGCAAGAAGAAGAAGAGGGAAGCAAGGAAGGAAAATAGTATCCAATAATAGCAATACGTAATACAATACCTGAGGCGAACAAAACCAAATATCGTAATAAAATCAAATAATATGAAGGGAAATGCATGCTACTAAGCCTATCGGTGAACACTATAAACTACCTACTAACCTTCTACCTTAATCCTTGACCTCCACACCCTCCTATCAAGTGTCATGTCCTCATTGAGCTGAAGCAGCGCCATGTCCTGCCTAATCATTTCTCCCCAGTACTTCTTAGGCCTACCTCGACCCCTCCTCAAACTCTCCATGGCCAACCTCTCACACCTCCTGACAGGGGCATCAATGCTTTTTCTCCTAACATGTCTGAACCATCTCAGCCGCGACTCCTACATCTTGTCCTCTACGGAGGCTACTCCCACTCTTTCCTGGATAGCTTCATTCCTAATTCTATCTCACTTGGTGCACTCACACATCCATCTCAGCATCCTCATATCTGCTACTCGCATCTTCTGCATAAGGGAGTTCTTGACTGGCCAACACTCAGCCCCATATAGTATAGCGGGTCGAACCACCACTCGATAAAACTTACCCTTACATCTTAATAGCATATTCTTATCACATAAAACACCGAAAGCGAGTCTCCGCTTCATCCACCCTGCTCCGATACGATGTGTGACATCTTCATCAATCTCTCTGTTACCCTGGATAATAGACCTGAGATACTTAAAACTTGCTTTCTTGGAGATAACTTGAGCATCAAGCTTAACCTCTACGTCTGCATCATGGGTCTCACTGAATTTGCACTCTAAGTATTCTGTCTTGGTTCTACTCAGTTTGAAACATTTAGACTCCAAGGTCTGTCTCCAAACCTCCAACCTCGCGTTAACTCCACTACGCGTCTCGTCTACCAATACTATATCATCAGCAAATATCATGCACCAAGGCACCTCCCCTTGGATGTGACGCGATAGTACATCCACCGCCAAGGCAAACAAAAATGGGCTAAGAGTCGATCCCTGGTGCAACCCCATCACCACAGGAAGATGGTCCGAGTCACCACCCACAGTCCTCACTCGAGTCTTAGCATCATCATACATATTCTTAATCACCCTAATGTACGCTACCGGAACGTTGCTAACCTCCAAACACCTCCACAAGAGCTCCCTCAGAACTTTATCATATGCCTTCTCAAGTTCAATAAACACCATATATAAATCTTTCTTCCTTTCCCTATACTACTCTACTAATCTCCTTACCAGATGAATCGCTTCCGTAGTCGAATGCCCCGGCATCAATCCAAACTAATTCTCGGAAATAGACATGCACCTCCTCACCCTAGCTTCCACCACTCTCTCCCAAACCTTCATAGTGCCACTCAATAACGTGATACCTCTATAATTGTTGCAATTTTGGATATCACCCTTGTTCTTGTAAAGCGAAACCATTGTACTCGACCTCCATTCTTAGGGCATCTTCTTTGCCTTAAAAATAACATTAAACAACCTAGTGAGACACTCCAAACCTGCCCGCCCCGCTGCTCTGCCCCTACACATCTTACACATCGCTCCTTCCACCTCCTCTACCGTAATCCGCCTACAGTACCCAAAATCTCGCCGACTCTCGGAGTGTTCCAACTCACCCAGCACAATACATTTATCCCCCTCCTCATTTAACAGTTCATGGAAGTATGTCTGCCATCTTCTCCTAATGAGTGCCTCATCCATCAACGTTTTACCATCCTCATTCTTGATGCACTTGACTTGGTCTAAGTCATGGGCTTTCCTCTCCTCACCTTGGCCAACCAGTAAAACCTCTTGTCCCCACCTTTTCCCTCGAGCTCCTCGTACAAATGAGCAAATGCTGCTTTCTTAGTCGTCGTAACTGCTAACTTTGCCTCTTTCTTTGCCTTTATGTAACACTCCCGATAAGTCTTTTTTTCCTCCTCTTTTGTACTCTCTACTAGATTCAAATAAGCAGCTTTCTTAGCTTCCACTTTACCATGAACCTCTCCATTCCACCACCAGTACCCTTTATGACCTCCAAGAGAACCCATACTTATCCAGGCCCTCACAACCAACAACTTCTCCCCTAACTCCTGAGCTTTGTCCTTGGTCAAGTTACCCCACTTGATCTTAGGTTGCCTACACCCCGCCCTCTTCCTCCTACTCCTCTTGATCTCCAGGTCCATAACTAGGAACCTATGCAGAGTCATGAGGTACTCACTCAGGATGACCTTGCAGTTAGTACACAGACCTTTTCGCATTTCCTACAGAGAAGGTAATCAATCTGAGTTTGCCCATTGAATTTCGGAAAGTGACCAGGTGCTCTTCCCTCTTCGGGAAACTCGAGTTAGCTATAACTAGATCAAAAGCTCTAGCAAACTCCAACAATGAATTACCTCCCTCATTCCTATCCCCAAAACCGTACCCGCCATGCACATCATCATAACCCCTAGAACTAGCCCCAATATGACCATTGAAATCTCCGCCAATGAACAACTTCTCTGTGTGCGGGATACGACGCACCATCTCGTCCAAATCATCCCAAAATTGCTTCTGGACCTCCTGGTTCAAACCTACCTAAGGAGCGTATGCACCAATTACCAACTTAATACTCATCAACCTATCATTTACCCTCCTAACCTCAACCACAAGCTCCCTAAGGTCCCTGTCTACTAGAATACCAACCCCATTCTTACCTCATGCGCTCCCTGAGTACCATAGTTTAAACCCATCTACATCTCGTACCCTTCCATCTAGTCTCCTGAACATACGCTATGTTGATCTTCCTCTTCTGAAGAATCTTAGCTAACTCTATCAACTTCCCTGTCAACATTCCAATGTTCCAAGACCCAATTCTCAACCTAGAGGCTTTCTTACCCCCCCCNCTACCGCCACTATAGGCAAAAGGTATTAGGAACGAAGGACTACAAGCTGCGAACCCAAGAGCTAAAAATAACTCAAAGGAGTGACTACGAGAACAGAAACACGAGCAGGCACTAGAACAATGGACCTACCACGTCTACAAAACTACCCCTATGCAAACACAGAACTAAAATGAATAGAGAAAACCTTAAGCTTAAAACACTAATAGAAAAAATAGAAAAAACAATTAATCCAATCAAAATAGAGTATAACTTTTGTTCCTATTTTTAAAAAAAGAAGAAAATTTACCAAAAAAATATATATTTGGTTTCTTCTAATTTTAAATGTAAGCTATAATATTTTTCTTTGTATAATTTAAACTATAGTGTAAATATTGAGTTTTCTTATTTATATAGTTTTCTTTAAGTCTAAGACTATGTTGGTTTATATATATAGAGAGAGAGAGAGCTATGTATTTTACCTTCTATTTATTTAATAAAGATGGGTTATATATATAAAACAAACCAGAAAATACCAACAAAAAAAAACAGAAAATGTGTAAATCTGAAAAAATAATTTTAAAAAAATAAAAAACAAAGAGTAAGTATCCTAAACTACTCCCACGATCTGCATTCCCTAACCCCCTCACTTACCCTATTCTTCACATCTCCCCTCAAAAAGCTCCCCCACCAGCCTCGCATCCCTAACGTCCCAATCCCCACTTCCCCACTTCCTTACATAAGTTATAAAACACACCCACACATCTATATAACGGAGATTAACATAAGGGAGGAGGAGATCGGAGAGTAAGTTGAAACTTGAGAGTTTGGTGAGTAGTATTTTGTGGGTAAAATTGTTTAGAGAAATAGTAGAACAATTAGTTAGCTTTTACTGGGATCTTTCTCTTTCAAAATTTGCTGCTCCTCTGGGTTTCAAACCCCGTTTTTTTTTTGCTGTTGTTGCCTACTCATTTTTCTGAGTTCGTTGCTGATTATTGCTGTTGTACCCTTCCATCTCTACTATCTAGGTATTCATCTTAACTATGTAATTTTTGGAAGTATATGGACATTTATATATTGATATTCACAGCTTTAAACTTGTACATCTGGTTCAACTGGTTATAACTTTTGTTGCATTTTTTTATCTTCTTTGCCTCGTGAAGAGGACATCTGAAAATACTACTCTATCTTTGTTTATATATAATTAATTAACTTGCCCAAATTAAATATATATATATATANACAACACATTAATCCTTTATTCCCCAGAGCTAGTCTTGGTCTTTGTCTTATTTTGATTAATATGATGGACTAACTAGTCTTAGATAACTGTAAAAATTGCACGGGGCGCCTTATTTGGGCGCCCCTTTTTTACCTGTAGTTGTTTTGTCTTTCTGTTTGTACCCATACCTGTTTTTTTGTTATAAAAGTATTTTAGAAAGACTATTTTGCCCTTCTTCATTAAAAGACTACTTTCTTTCCAAGTATACGCTAGTCCTTTACTGTCTCTGTCTTTCTCTCCCGTTATTCGCGTTTTTGATTTGTTCTTTTCTGAAATCAAAGGATTTTCGTCGTTGTTTTAATTTTTCAGCTGCTATTCGTCGTTGTTCCCACATTACGATTTAATCACAGGTACATTGCATTAATTTTTTGGGTTTTATTTTACGATTTTCTGGGGGGTTTTTTTCTGGTTTTGGTTTTGATAGTCATGTATTTATGATTAAATAGTTTATTAGTACTTAGTTTGATAAGTGCATTAGTTTTACTTTTAGATTGTGTTTTTAGGTTTTTTGAACGAGTTTTTATGTTGTTGATGAAAATCTATAAATTCTTTAGTAATTAGACGTCCAAATTTTTAAAATTTTGAGAGTTAAATAGATGATACTATTAAAGTGGTGATACCTTAGATAGGAGCTGAAGTTTTTTTTTCATGTTTTGGCATTATTTTTGGATTTAAATTTGTATTTTGTTTTTTGTAAAAACTACAACATGAGGCTGAATGTTTTGTGTTTTGTAACTGGTGAGCTGAAGATTTTGTTTTTTGTTACTGGTGAACTTCAGCACTAGAGCTGAAGGTTTTGTTTTTGTAACTGGCGAACTTCAGCTTTAGAGCTGAAGTTTTGTTTTGTAACTGTCGAACTTCAGCCTTCTTAGAGATTGAAGTTTTAACTGATCTTTTTGATAATGTCCTGATGTTATTTTTTGTATGTTTTACTTTTTTGAACAGATGGCACCTAAAGCACCTAAAGATCCTAATGCAGTTAAAGTACGCAAAGCACATAATGCACCTAAAGCACTTAGACTACCTGTAATACCCCCAAGTCCTTATGTCCCTTCTCCTTCACCTACAAGACCAGGTCAAAGATATTTGAGTTTCGAGATTGGTTTAACTCTAAGGGTTCCTGGAAGGGGAACCATGATTTGAAGAAACTAATTGCAACTTTCTTGACTCCTACACAACGGGATAAGCTTCACAATAGTACATTTCGATACATTATGCTATGGAGAATTTCAAATGCAGCATGAAGTTGGTTCATTGTCTGTGTCTTTCTTGAATATTCACGAATGATCGAGATTCGATTAGTTTCAAGATTTTTGGCCATGATGTTTCCTTCACCCTTGAAGACTTTCACATTATGTGTGGTTTTCAGATCACATCACATAATGTTGAAAAGCCAATTAATCGAGAGAGCAATATTCTGAAGCGCTATTTTGGTAAGTCCAAGGGTGTGACTTTGAAGGATATTCGAGATTTTATGACTCGGAATAAAATTTCAAAGAATGTTGTGAATCACATACACGTATGCGAGAGCGATGATGATGTTGTGAAGCTTGTGGAAATTCTTGTTGTAGAGTCTATTTTGTTTGGGAAAAAGACCGAGTCATATGTGATGGAGGAGTATGCATCTATTGTTGAAGATAATAAGGTTTGTGTTGAATATCCTTGGGGTAATGTGGCTTATGAGAAGCTCATTTACTCACTAAAACATGCATTGGACAAGCAGAACAAATTCCATGCAACTGAGTATAAACTTGGTGGATTTTCTTTTCCGTTATGTGCTTGGTTCTATGAGCGCTTTCAGATATTTGGGAGAAGTATATAAGAGAGGATGAGTACCTTGATACCCCTCAGGTTCCCAGGATGTTACGTTATGTATGTGTGGGAGAGCCTAAATTTCCCGAACTTTTTGAGATGTTCAGTAGTCATGAAGTAAGTTACTTTTTTTTTGTCTTTGTGTTAATATGTTGATGTATTAGTTTTCTTCTTCTCATAATATACTTTTTTGTATTAAACAGAAATATCGCAGCTTTAGGGTATTGGATATATATCCTACAGAAGAGGAATTGAATTCAATGCCTTTAATTGGCCAATTACTATGCAGCCAGATTCGTTCAAAGGTACTTAACGTGAGTCCTTCAACTGGTGAATCACCATGTACTCTGAGTTGATCAAAAGAATCGAATCGAACTCCTGTTATTGGTGAATCACCACGTAGTCAGAGTCGATGAAAAGAAGCGAATCGAACTCCTTTTATTGGCGAATCATTTCGTACTCAAAATCGTTCTTACCGTTCTACAAGTGACTTTGATGACAATGAATTACTCGACACAATATGTTCTGTAAGTTTTGATCTAAAGTTTTTTAGTTTTGTGTTTTGTAAAAGTACAACATGTTTTTGAGCTGAAGTTTTGTTCTATATCTGAATTTTTGTTGTGTGTCTATTCTAGAGATTAACGATGGAGGTTCAAAGGCATGCAGAAAAAGAAAGAAGCACAATCGTGAAAGAAGTTTTTGATAAGTTTAAAAAGGAGGAGCGATTTGCTTTTGTTGATGCGGTTTTTGTAAAAATGAAGGTAAGCTAATTTATAGAGAAGTCTTTTTATTTCTGTTGATGTTATTCAGATTAATCATTGTTAGTAATTATTTTTCTAGGAATATTTTGATGAGAAGTTTGAACAGTTGTTTAAGATTGTCAACAAATCAAATGGAATGGATGATGACATTTTTGATTTGAGTAACCATTGAGAATATGATAGGGGGAACGACTGTTACGAACATCCATCGGATATTAATGTTGTTGATGATGCATTAGATAAAGTCGTAGATGTAAATGCTACACGTGAGGAAATGACTTTTGTAGGCAATCAACATGTTCAAGAACAATTTGAAGAGGAACGTCCCAGTGCTGATAGATTGAGCAGAGATGGAAATGATGAAGCACAGTATCAACTGAGAATATTGGAAGCAAGCAAGGTGCATATAATCAAGTTGTTGAGACTGAAGAACATAATGCTCATGATGTATTGTGTAAAATCGTAGATGATAATGCTACACATAAGGAAGTGGCTGCTGAAGTCGGTGAACATGTTCAACAACAAGGTATAGAGGAACAATCCAGTGTTTGTATATAGAGCAAAGATGGAAATGATGAAGAGTTAATAACTGAGAAAGGTTCAGATGATCAAGTTGTTGGCACTGAAAAACATGCACCGAGTTGTCCTTTGGAAAGTGATATTGGAAAAGAAAATTTGTTTGGCAATGGAGATCAAGCAACTGTTTGTACTTTAGAACTGAAAGCGAGTGATGTGTCTAGTACTATTGGGAAAAACGATCGGTATGCAGGATTACTAGCTATTTGCAAAGAACTTCTAGGTGGTGATACACAGGAAATTGTTACTACAGGTACAAAGTGTGAAGTTTATAATATTTTAATGATACCTTAGATTGGAGCTGAAGTTTTGTTTCATGTGTTTGTGTTTTTTGTAAAAACTACAGCATGTTTTTTTGCTGAATGTTTTGTTTTGTAACTGATGAACTTCAGCTCTAGAGCTGAAGTTTTTGTTTTTGTAACTGTCGAAGTTTTTTTTGTAACTGTCGAAGTTTTTGTTTGTGACTGTCTAACTTCAGCCTTCTTAGAGTTGAAGTTTTAACTGTTTTTTATAATATCCTGTAGTGAAATTTTCACTACAGGTGTAAATTTTTTCTATGTTATATATATAAGAAAACTAGTTGATCTATTCACCCTCTTTATGAATATGCAGTGGAAGTTGAGGCTAGTTGTGCTTCAATTGACACAACTCAAAAACTCTCTGATGATGCTGAATTGAATGAAGGTAGAGTTGTGAAAAACCTTCCAGAGAATACTTCAATGCTCCTCGGCGTTGGTTCACAAATGAATGAATCTGTAAATGTTGATATTGACAGAGGCATTGACAAAGGCATGCAGCCTGGGGAAACCACGGCGGAAGACAAACGTCAAGGTATTTTATAGATCATGAATTTATTATATTTGATTGAAGTATATTTTTTACAGTTTGAAATTTTACATACTTTATTTTCTTTTTTATGTTTTTGAATGATTTTTCAGAAAGACTCGAGGCAGCTCAAAAAGAATTTGGTGAGCTTATGCAGCTATATGAAAAAGGAGAAATACATATATTCACACTTGTTGCATCACAGAGAGGTGTGAAGTGTGTTGATATTATTTTATAAAATTTAGTCAGTATTATTATTATTTTTTTGCATGAAGATACAGGATCTGTTGGAATGTAAACACCATCTGTGTCGCAACACTTAGACCAGGTAGTTATTTTCTGCAATTCAATTACAAGCTATTTTTTTGCCTAATGTGTATTTTCTATCAGTTTTATTTATGTTTATATTTTCCTTGCTTTTGCAGATCTCATCTGATGCATCAGAACTTCTTCCAAAACCTAAGAGAAGGAAGATTTCCAGTTCTCCTATGTGTGACACCAGTGATATCCTCAACTTCAATTTATGTTCATTTTCACTTGGTAGTACACAAGGGACTAATTCAGAAGGTAATTCTGCTGCTGTTGTTGTTCGTGAAGAGACACAAGAACGTCGTGAACAGCAGGGAGTTGATCAAGCATCTGCCACGATGGCTGTAGTTTTTCCCCTGCTGCTGAACAACAGCAGTTAGCTGTAACGGAACAGCAGGAAGAGCAAGCAAAAGAAAAACCAGATAAAAAGGAAAAAAGATTCGTATGGAGAGTATTTGGTTGAGATCTCCTTATGTAGTTTATAAAAAAAAAAGCAAAGGGGGCAAGATTCGAAAGTAGGAAAGAATACAAGAAGGTGTCCCTTCCATTATGTTAATCAAGACAGTGGATTGATCGAAAGATTTACAGAGTGGTTGGAGAAGGATGCCAGTGAATATGATTCCAATCGATTCAGATTAGCTGGATTTGATATTGCAAAATCATTCTTTACCGAGCTTATGGATCCTGACTCTGATCTTGCGGATGAAGTAAGTTATTAAGTTTGTTTTTTGAATTGGTTTTCAACTGTATTTCCCAAAACTTTAGCTTATTTTTTATAGTAAAGTTTTTGCACTGTAATTTGGAAAACTTCAGCTTTATTCATACTAAAATGCTGAAGTTTTTNATCATTCTTTACCGAGCTTATGGATCCTGACTCTGATCTTGCGGATGAAGTAAGTTATTAAGTTTGTTTTTTGAATTGGTTTTCAACTGTATTTCCCAAAACTTTAGCTTATTTTTTATAGTAAAGTTTTTGCACTGTAATTTGAAAAACTTCAACTTTATTCATAGTAAAGTGCTGAAAATATTTAGCTTATTTGCTAAAACTTCAGCCTAACACTTCAAACTGAATATGCTTAAGTTTTTGTCATGCTGTTTGTAGTTTTGTAATGAGTTTTTTCTAAACTTCATAGTGGTATTTTCACATGTTATCATTTGTTGTTGTTCATTTGCAGCATATTGATGTGGGCATTTATTACTTGCGCAAAAAATATTGCTATCACCTTCCACGTTATCCAAAATCAAGATGTGCAGTAACAGATTTAGTTTTTGATCAGTATATGACTAAGTTGGATGGTATTCATCCTTTAGAAGAAAAGATGAAGATAATTAACAAAATGAAGCAAAAGAGAATGCAGGATCAAAAAAAGAGCAAATCAAAGAGAAAGAGGATATCCAAACAACAGGCTGAAGAAGAAGAAGAAGAAGAAGAAGAAGAAGAAGAAGAAGAAGAAGAAGAAGAAGAAGAAGAAGAAGAAGAAGAAGAAGAAGAAGAAGAAGCGGTTATTCAGCCACTTACGGACTTTAGTTGGTTTGAGGAAAAATCAACGAATGAAAATGTGGCCAACTACTTAAAAGGCCTCGACCTTTCCTATGATATCTCATGGGCATCTGCTAGAAAAGTATTTTTTCCATTTCGACTTAAGCCAAGGACGGGTCAGACATCTACACACTACTTTTTTGGAATTTTGGACTTTAAAGATAAAATTATATGTGTGTATGATTCCATGGGCAGTGTAACATACGATCGTGCGCTTGAACATGTCAGAATTTATGCTTGGTTGATCCCACACTATCTCAAATGCTTGGATTTTGGGGCACACAATAAATTTTATGGGGAAAGTCCTGTGGAAAAATTTCAAATTATGTGGATGAAGACACCGCAACAGACTAACAAGTACGTGTTTCGCATATGTTTTACCATGCATATTATGTTTATTATTTTTTGCCCTTTTGTTAACGATTCTTCAATTTCTTTTTCATGTGTTTTTTGTAGTGTTGATTGTGGTATATTTGCTCTTAAGTTTATTGATATGCGGTTGAAGAAAGAAGATGTCTTCAATTTCGATCAAAGTCGGTCATTGACATTCAGGAAAGAATTGGCTGTCAATCTTTGGGCTCATGGAAAGTGGAAAAAAGATAGCGGATATGAAACTCCAGAAGAACAAGAAGGACATGATTATGGAGATTTTGAAGAGACTCTGTGTGAATTTTTTGATTAGAGGATTGGTTGAACATAATTTGGATTTTGTGAATATACATTAATTATTTTTTTAGTTCACTTTTGTGTCATACAAATATGTTTGTGTCTTTTATCATGAATTTTAAGTACATTTTTGTTTCAAAAAACTTAAGCATGAAGTAAATGACTTCTGCTTTTTAAGCTGAAGTTTTGGTTAAAAGTCATAACAAAACTATTGAATCCAACACAAAAATTTCAGCTTATCAGGTGCTGAAGTCTTTAGAAATATACTAAAAAACTTCAGGACATTGGGCCGAAATTTTTTGAAAAAGCTTTACGACAAAAGCTATTGAATCCAATACAAAAACTCCAGCTTATCGGGTGCTGAAGTCTTTAGAAATATACTAAAAAACTTCAGCACATTGGGCCGAAGTTTTTTGAAAAAACTTTACGACAAAACTATTGAATCCAACACAAAAGCTTCAGTTTATCGGGTGCTGAAGTCTTTAGAAATATACTAAAAAATATCAGCGCATTGGGCCGAAGTTTTTTTAAAAAGCTTTATGACAAAAACTATTGAATCCAACACAAAAACTTCAGCTTATCAGATGCTGAAGTCTTTAGAAATATACTAAAAAACTTCAGGACATTGGGTCGAAGTTTTACTATTTTTTGTGGCCTTATTTTTTACTATTTTTTTTATTGCATTTACCAACTACTAGCATTTAGCACTTATTTGTTTTGCCAACTACTTATCTTGTTACATTCAATTTTTGTGAACAAAAAACAGTTAACAATCTCTTCAGCATTTATAGATATTAAATTGATTAGGTGCACTCTTTGACTATATTAACAATCTCTTCACTTGAAAATTTCATAGTCATCCATAGACTTCCATCATATTTCTTTAAATTTGTATTCAAAGAAAAACAAGAAAATATTGGCTAAGACATGCTTATTGGGTGTAGCAGGGAGTTCGTGGGGAGCAAAGATAGTGAAGGAGAGTGGCCAGATCAAAAACTCGAGCTCCAAGACAATTTGCTCTTTTTACTAGTTGATAAATTTAACTTTTAGGAAAAAGAGCAAATTTCCTGGGGCTCGAGTTTTTGATGTGGCCACTCTCCGTCACATATGAGGTATTTTGGACTTCTCTTTCACTTTCTTTGCTTCCCACGAATTCCCAGATGCACACCAGTAAGCATGTCTTTGACCAATATTTTCTTGTTTTTTCTTATGAAAGAAGATGGTAGTTGCTAAAAAAATATAGTACTAAACTTCGTCAACCTGTGTCAGGTGCTCGTATTGCCGCTTCTGTGAATCAGTTG